GTTATAAGATTTTTTTTCTTCAAATGATTGGGTTTACCCCAAAAAAGAGTAAAGGAAGCTTATATTTGACTACCACTTTTAAAAATTGTATACATATTTAGAGATCACATAGTCCTTATAACATAGTGATATATACATAAGATGGGAGTGGACATATATATAAAATTGATTTATTGAATTTGAACAAATCTTTTAGTCTCACAAATATTCTTTCTTCCCATATATTTCATACATTTCCCTTCTTATTCACTATGCAAACCATTTTCCGTATTGCAAACGGACCCTTAAACCATTCGTTTATGCTCTTCAAACATATCGAGTTGAAACAACAAACACAGCTCAGAATGATCTCAACCGTTGATTTCGAATCTATTGGATGAAAGCCAATAACCATTGACGAATGGTTGAGATAATTTTCAGCCACATTCAACTCTTCCAAAGATCCCTTTTTTGTGGTGTTTTTATAATATTTTACTGGGTTTATTGTTGATAACCATCCCAAAAGACAGTAAATAATTACACATGATATGTCTCCAAGGCATAAAGATTAGCACATCCATGAAAATAATATAAAATTACAGTAAGAGCTTTACCAGAGGAGGCTGAATAACTCTATCCATTCTTGAATGATTAGCCATTTTTTTATATTTACCAAATAGAATCCAACTTTAATTCATCATCAATCCCCAATCCACGACTTCAATTTCTGCTTCAAAACCTGCACATTGTTCACACTCTAAATGATCAACTAAATACAAATTCGAATAAAAAAACAACAAAAAAATTAAATTATAAATAAAATCACTACCTTGGAAAAATAAATCAGAAAAGAACTCTTGCAGAACTCAGCACTGAAACAAACCACCCAGTTGAATCAAGAAAAGATTAAAAAAATCACCCTTTCAAAGAATCTTGATAACAAATCCCCAAAATCAAAGAGACCCAATACCCAGATCAAAAAAGTAAATATATATGAAGATGGAAAAACCCCCAAAATCCCTCCAAATCTAATCTTTAAAAAGGAACCCTAGACCCTCCCCAAATGCGAGACAGCCAGAAATGGGGTGCAGAAAAGAGGGGAAAAGCACCTAAGAAAACAGATTCATTTCCACCATGAAAAATCCTTCTTTCAGTGGAACTATGGACCCACAGAAGAGCTCTAACAGCACAATCTACCAAGCAAAACAGTGTATTTAACAAGCGACACCAAACAGTACTATCCCCAAACCTAACAAAAAAAAACAGCTCCTTTCTATTTTGATCAGCCACAGATATTTATACCCACGAAAAATTGATTGGAAATTTGAAGGGGAGAATCTGTATCTAGAGAGAGGGGAGGTGAAAATCTTTAGCGGTTGAAAGGGGAGAAAAGTTTGAGAGTTGGGGGAAGACTAACTGGAAAGAGACAAGGCACAGTGTTTATTAGTAATGCGTGTAGACTAGACTCTAGAGGTTAGCGCGAGGTTTGAGTCCCAAATAAAAGTCTAAATCCTAAAAAAATATTCCCTCCGTCCCAGAGTATTTATCCACTTTTATTTTTACACATCATCCAATACATTTCTTTAATTCATTTTATCTTGTAATTTGTATATTAAAAAATTATAGAAATTATATATTAATAATCTATATGTTAAGAAAAATTAAACAAAATCACGCATGACTATATTTAGGCTTACACATTGAGAGAATTTGATGAGTCAAAGTGCTTAGATGAACAGTTCCAAAAATCAAAAGTGGACAAATATAGCGAAAAATATAATCAAAAACAAATAAATGATATAAAAATTTTATATATTTGATGGGTGTATTTCACCCATGACCGGTCAAAGATCCGAACCAGAAAATCGACCGGTCAATAAAGTCCAGCTCGAAAGGAGGTGATGAATCGTCAGAGGATTGACCTAAAACTTTGACCGGTATACTTTGAATAGTATACTGGTCAAACTCGCCTATGGTCTAAATCCATCCTTCGAAGTTGGCCCAAACCTACAAGAACCAACCGGTGCAGTTTTTTGGGAGTGTCGGCAGGAGGAATTCAAAAAGGATTTGGACTGTAGTGGTTGGAATTGACGAGATGCTGGAGGAACATTTCCAAGCCAGAACGCGACAAAGGCGCAGCCCCCCACGCAAGAGGACGAGGCAGCTCAGCAGTCACCTCCCACCTGCGGCAACGTGATCCCACGTGGGTGCACGTGGTCTTGTCCCCCTTTAGCCTAGTATAAATACGGCTGTAACTCCCAGAAGTAGGGATCCGAATTCACTCTCTCTAAACTCCCTTGTAAAAGTGACCGTGGATTCTCTGTTTTAATATAATTCGGGATACAGGTGTTCCACCTAAAGTCCTACCGGTCATTCTGAGTGTTTTTACTTTCTTTATTTTATTGAATCAAGCCAACTATTCTAGACCCGGTCTAGTATAGTTTGACCGGTCAAGTAATTTACACCATCAATATTAAAACTATATCTTAAGATATAGTCCGTATTTTTAATCAAACAACGATACTTTTTTATTACAAATTAAATATAATCAAAACAAATAAATGATATAAAAATTTTATATATTAAAACTATATCTTAAGATGAATTCAATTATATTGAATTTACATTATAATTAAATTTACTTTTTTCACAATATGTGGTAAAAAAGTATAACTGTTTGACAAAAAAATCAAAACAGGAAAGATTTTTTAGGATCGGAGGAAGTATTATATGCACGACTATAAAAAAATAGAAGAGTAAATTTCATAAAAGGTCCCTAGTTATAGGTCGTTTTACATATTTAGTCCATACATATCAAATATTACTAATTCAGTCTCCAATTGTTATATCATTTTTCACGAATGTTCCTTTGTTAACATTTTTGTTAAGAACGTGGATAAAATTGTATATTCATACTTCTTTCTCTCTTCAATTAAGCGTCATCCTTCCTCTCGTAATTTTTCCCAAACTCGTCGCTGAATTTGAAGCTCTAACCTCAAAACTGAAATGATTATTCATCTTTCAATTATTAGTCTTCTTGCTGGAACATAAAATCAAAACCAATAAGCTTTATGGATGAGTTTTATCAGTTAGCCTCAAGAAATTGCAAAGAAAATAAACATTAAAACTCATCTATGAAGGTTACTGGTTTCGAATTTGGGTTCCACCAGTTAGGCAAACAATTGAGAGAAGAGTGATGATTTTGGTTTTGGGTTTAAAGCTTCAAACTCAGCGACGGCTTTGGTAAAGGAGTGCGAGGGGAGGGAAGAAGCTTAATTGAGGAGGGAAATGTGTGTGAATTTACAATTTTATCCACGTTCTTAACGGAAATGTTAACAAAGGACCATTCGTGGAAATGAATATAATAATTGTGGACTAAATTAGTAATATTTGATATGTACGGACTAAATATGTAAAACAACCTATAACTGGGGACCTTTTATGGAATTTACTCAAAATAGAATTTTCATCTTTAATGGAAAGTCCCACTCCTGTGTCTCATTTTGAGTTCCACCCGGTAACTTAAACCATTGTCCAGCATTCGAAACATGGACCAAATTGCTGGTACCCAACTCGAGTGATCCTCCCGGTCAGTGGTAACCCCGACCTTCTGCTTGTTAAGACCGAGTACGATACTAAGGAATTGGGAGGGCCTCTTCCACCCGACCTCGTTACTTATCGGGAGGCTATGGGTTTATGCCCATCAAAACCCATTTTTTATAAAATGATTTTCTAAAAATCAATATTTTTCGTTATTTTTTAGGATTTTTTTTATAATAGTAAGTTGTTGATATTTGAACATGAAAGAAATTAAATATGTTTTGAAATAATTTAATTTTTTCAGAAATATATTTAAATATAGCGATCAGTATCAAATTACATTATAGAGCTCAACTTTATAGGGTACTAGGGTTTGCGGCAGGGGTGGGGTGAGGGAGGGGCAAGATTTATTATTTGCTCGTGAAATCAAAAGACTCAAAGAGCGAGTAATCGAGTATGAATTGAAATGGTCATCTCGTCTCTTTGATAGTAATATTTTTCTTCAAAAATGATTTGATGCCAATTATGCAACTGAACATAAAAAAGTATCATTGAAAATTTTCTAAAAGAATATTCTTTCTCCTAACTAAACGGATCCAGATCCTAAAAATTAGATTTCAGAATAATAAAACTTAAAAAAAAATTGAAGAGAAATTACAAGTATTGATGTAAAAATTCCGTTTAAACGAGTTAAAATGCTAGTTTATGAAAATGTCACACCAATATATATGTTATTGGTTAAAGTTTTCCACACTAATTAACAAGTATTAATGTTAAAAAAAATTGTCAACACTATAAAAATGTATTGATGTAAATCATGGTTTGGTTTTGGAACAATTAAATTGAACTTCCATATTTCCATTTACTCTATTTTTTGTCGTGGTCAATGTTTACAAGAAATTAAGTACACTCCCATTCTCCTCTCTTTGTCGTTTGTCCATACCTCCAAGCTAAGCCTCCAACTAAACCATGTTAGGGGCTTAGGGCTCTTTCTTTTCAACCCTATCTTGTGGCAGTATCGGTCCCGAAAAATGAAAAAGTAATATTGGTTTGGTCCTAAACTTATATTTTGGACCTTATTTTATATTTTTATAATATTTATGCTTCAAAATTAATGTCAAACTTAAAAATATGGGGACTTGTACGATTGGCCACCCTCCGAGCCACCCATGCTTTGTGGTCTATGTAGAGAGCATACATATTTTACTCTTTTTTCAGGCTAGCTAAGTGCTTTCCAGCATCTACGATGGAGTAAAAAATTCACTATTTTTTACTTTGGGTGTGATGGAATAAAGTAAAATAAATCTCGAAACTGTCTATGCTTCTTTAATTAATGATGTAACAGTTAGTCAACGAATGCAACTTTCAACATTGAGCTGAGGTTTCTTTGAAAATAGTCTCTCTACTTTCGAGTAGGGGTAAGGACTACTTACACGGTACACACATCCTCCCCAGACCCTATCATTGTAAGATTCAACTAGGTTGTTGTTCGAGCTAAATGCTAAGTTTTGTAAATTTTATCATTTACATCCTTAACTTTGGGTTGTACTTGAGTTAATTCTTAACTTCCAACTTCTTTCGGGTAGTCTCTAGAAACCAGAAATTTATTCGAATTCTTTGATTTTAATGGTAAAATTCGAATTTTTAAATTTAAGATTAGAAGGGAGTGTATGGATTTGTATGTAGTTAATAAGTTTTTTTTTTGGAAATTAGATGAATTTGATCCAAATCCAATTTTTAAAGACAAATTTTACGGTGGATCTAAGGTCCATCATGTACCTACATTATGAATAAAATAAGCATTTTCTTACTATTTAAATTAGCACCTATTTTTTAATAAAATAATTTTTTAAAAAAAGATTTTTTTATGTGAGAAGATCTACAAAAATAGTATGCACCCAAGATGCACCAAAAAACACTCTTTTTTTAAATTCCAAAACATCTAATTTGAATTTGAAATCTAAATCTATATATATTTTCAAAAATGCCATCAATTTTTTCTAATTCATAGTTTCTTCTGATTAATTACGTACGGAATATATTCAACTATCTCGTATAAACTTGAATTTACTCCATATTTTTGTAAATTTTCATATTATTATTGCAATAATTATTATGATTATGATTATGATATGATGATGATTATGAATATGATTTTATGAATATGATGATGATGATGTTGATTACGTTGATTATTATTACCACTACTATTCTATGTCCATATAATTAAAGTGAGTTCTCATAGGTAAAATAATAATGTTTCGGGCTTTGGGCAACAATAATAAACTACTGAATTCTCACAAAGAACTTAGAAATTGTGATTTTGTTTGGAAACAACATTTTTCCAGTTAAAGTTACCATTTTGAATAATTTTTTAATAATATAAATTAATTTTAGGAATGTTAAAGTTGAACGCTAGCCTTAATTACATAATGTTTTTATATTGCTAAAGCTGTTGCTAATTGCTATACCTTCCATTTTATTTTATTTAATTATTTGTCAAATGTTAAAAAACAATTAATCGAAAAAAGTCAAAATGGATAAATACTCGAGGCGAAGGTAGTAACATTTTTGGGACAAACAAAATAATAATGTGTTCATTCACAAAAATTGAGGTATGTTAAAGAAAGTTATTACAAGTAGTATGCTATCATATACTACCTCCATCCCACTCTCTTTGTCCACATTTGACTTTTGAAACTGTCCATCTAAGCACTTTGACTCATCAAATTCTCTCAATGTATAAGCCTAAATATAGTCATGTGTGATCTTGTTTGATTTGTCTTAACATATAGATTATTAATACGGAGTATATAATTTCTATAATTTTTTAATATACAAATTACTTCCTCCGTCCCACTATATTTGTCCACTTTCATTTTTGCACACCATCCAATACACTTCTTTAATCTATTTTATCCTGTAATTTGTATACTAAAAAATTATAGAAATTATATATTAATAATATATATGTTAAGACAAATCAAACAAGATCACACATGACTATATTTAGGCTTACACATTGAGAGAATTTGATGAGTCAAAGTGCTTAGATAAACAGTTCCAAAAGTCAAATGTAGACAAACAAAGCGGGACGGAGGGAGTACAAGATAAAATGGATTAAAGAAGTGTATTGGATGGTGTGCCAAAAGGTAAGTGGACAAAGAGAGTGAGGCAGAGGGAGTATATAGAATTTATATACTCCCTCCGTCCTGAAATTAACTTTCCGGTTTGACTTTTGTGGTCAAACTTTTTAAACTTTGACCGTAAATTACGAAAAAAAATACATTGAATTTTCATATAAATCTATTAGCAATAGATTCATTTTGAAACATAGTTTTGAAATATATAATTTTTATAAAATATATTTATATAAAAATTGAGATATTGATGGTCAAAGTGTCGCATTGGAGACCGTGAAAAGTCAAATGGGAAGTTAATTTTAGGACGGAGGAAGTACTTCCTTTGTCCCAAAAAAAGGTTACATTTCATTTTTTTGTGCATCCCAAAAAACATTTCTATCAACATCTAAAATACCTAAAAATTACTACATTTATCCTTTATTATGAGTAGAGGTCGTTTTGGAAGTTTTTTTGGCGTTTGAGACGAAATAAAAATATTTTATGCGTGCACAAAAACGAAACGTAACTTTTTTTTAGACGGAAAGAGTATTATAATGTGTAATTATTTGTACTGGCTCATCAGATTTCTTCCATATAATAAATCCTAGTTATCAATATTATTTCCTATATAAGAGGGTTATTAACAATATAATGAAAAAGACACATCTTTAGACATTACAATAATACAACACATTATATACATGAATACACTCGAAATACTGATTTTTTACAACGTCATTACACTTGATTCGTAAGCACTTAAGTAAAGAATTCTTGTTTCTCAAAAAAAAAAAAGAAGAAATTCTTGAAGGAAGTAAAGTGTAAAAAGAGGCAAAGAGCCAATGTGGTGTATTATTTCAAACAATGAATGACTTTTTTTCTTTTACCTTATTTCTAATTATGGACTGTGTTTTGCATAATTGAAAGAAAAAAAATCAAGAAAAGAAAAACTTGAGATTCAAATAAAAGTCGTAAAGTTTGTAGCTGGTGAAAATGGAAAGATTCTTAACACTTAAAAAAGAAGAACAGAAAGTAAAAGTTACTCTCATTTGGTGCATATCCAACCAACACATACTCACAATTCACAAAGTGTTTGAATTCTCCATCCCGTCCTAGTCTAAAAAATTTTTTATTCATTTTCTTTAGACAGATGCCTCATAAACACTTTTTACTTCATCTCTTTCAAAAATTTTAATTTGTCTCACTTCGAAAAAAATAGAAAATCTTATCATTTTTAAATTAAATACCAGTAATTTATTTACAAGTTAGTGTAGAAATAAAAAATTTCAAATTATATATTTTAAAATCATATCAAAAGTTCTATAAATTATGATGTGAAAAAAATATTTAATTTTATCAAATAATCAATAAAAATAAACAAAAGTTATCGAAAGACTAGAAGAGTAAATGAACAAGATTTTTGGAGAGGAAGAAGTGTTTTTTTTTATTGATAATGAATATAGTTCACAAAATATGCTCTTTTTTTTTGAAAGGAAACAAAATATGCTCTTAAAGCATCTAATCTTGGTCTTACTCATACCTCCGCGAAGACTACTCATTTACAAGGAACTGCAAGAATACTCATTTTCGAGCAATTGAATATATTCATATTCAAGTAACTGTATTTACATTTTTCAAAATTCAATTATGCTCGAAAATGATTATTTAGTTACTCGAAAATGCGTACACAATTACTTGAAAATGAATCCTCAATTACTCAAAAATGAGTATTCAGTTACACGAAAATAAGTATTCATTGAGATGTATGAGAAAGCAATGCTTTTTGGGTTAAAGAAAAGAGAGATAGGCAAGTCAGTTTTCCAATAAGTCAACTCCATTATTATTCCATAATGTTGACACCCCTTTACCTAACCCGCACTCCAACCCCTCCCTTTTAATGCCTTTGTTGCCTTATACTCTTTCTCTAATTTGACTTTTTTCGAGTCAAACTAGATGAATTTTGAGCTTCAATTATTTATATAATTTGTATTGAATATTAGTAAAATAGGGCAGAAGAAGTACTCCGCAATACTCCTCCATCCTAAAATCTTATTCTTATTCTAACTTTTACAGTATTTAAAAGAAAAAATATTTTTTGTGTTTATTTTTCAAAAATATCTCTGACATCATGGATAACAAGTAGGATGTGATTGATAAATTTTACAAAAAAAGTATCCCAAAACTAAATTACATATGCAAAATCCATAACATTTCCTCCCATACATTTTGCCACATAGAAATTGCAGAATGAGTTGAACTAGGAATGTGGCATTTCAATATTTCATAAATGAACAAAAAACAAAACAATAACAAAAACAACAAACCCAATATAATCCCCAGACCGTTACCCTCACTTGAAGCAAAACAACTTTTATCCCACCTGTCTTTTGAACTAATTTCTACTTTTCCTCTCTGGTCATAGTATTGAAAAAAAAAAACCATTGACATGTGTTCTTGATTTCACAAGTTACCTAAAGAACTCGCCAAATCTACCAAAAGGCCTAAACCATGATTTATTTACAACGCCAGCCATGGCGGGGAGAACGAGTCAAGTCACCTTTTTTCTCAGTCAGCAACTATGTCAAATGACGGGTTTAACCTCAGAAGGACAAGAGACCAGAAACACCACGAACTCTTAGTTAGCTTGGAGAGAATCTGTCTTAATGAACTCAGGGTAACGGTACTAATCTGTACGGAGCATGTCTGCTTGAGGCTTAAATGCCCCGAGTACCAAATACGGGAATCTAATCATGCAAGCCATAAACAGGGTGAACTGCAAAAGAGAAGATGAAGCCAATGTGTGAACATTCTCAATTTTCAACTCATATTTACATAAGCAAACAATAACAACAACAATCCTTGGATCCCAGGATAGTAGGGTCTGGGGAGGGTGTGTGTACGCAGACCTTGCCCCTACCCGAAAGTAGAGAGGCTGTTTCCAAGAGACCCACGGCTCAAGCTGCATAAAAAGAAGGATCACAACATATGCACCCAACACCCCGAAAATAAACTAACATTATGAAGCAAGAGTATTGCAAGCAAATAGCAAAAAACTCCAACCATAAAAGGTATATCAAGCACACAACAACACCGCCCCCCTATCACAAGGCACCTACCCAAATCCTGTCCCTCCGGACGTTCTTATGTAAGGCCATATCCTCACTAAGGTTAAGCAGTCCTAAGTCCTGTCTAATCACCTCCTTCCAACTTTTCCTAGGTCTACCTCTTCCCCTACTTCCCCCTACCAACAAAAGCCTCTCGCATCTCTGCACAAGAGTCAGGAGCATCGGCATTCTTCCGTCTAACATGACCAAACCACCTCAACCTAGCTTCCCGAAGCTTATCTTCCACTGGGCCATGCCTAGCCGATCTCGAATAACCTCGTTTGGAATCCAATCTAGCCTTGTCTACCCACACACCCACCACAACATCCACATTTTTATCGCATGTAGATAACCGCACAACACTCCACGCCATAGAGCATAGCTCGTTTGACGACATACCAGTAAAATTTACCTTTCATCTTGGGCGAAATCTTCTTGTCACACAACACCCGTGAAGCCAACCTCCACTTAGACCAAGCTGCTCCAACACGATGCACATCTCTGTCTAACTTCTCATCTGCTTGAATGACCAAGCCTTTTTACCAAAACTTGTCAACCTTGGGCACTAGGTGAGAGTCAATCCTAACTTCCACCTCAGAAACCGTCTCCCGGCCACTAAAACGGCATTCCATGTATTTGGTCTTGGTCCTACTAAATCTGAATCCCTTGGTATTCATATTTACATAAGAAGAATATCACTAAAATGATGGTAGCTGCGTGTATGGGAGTGCAATGTTTTTCACCAACTAAGTGCACATTTGGAAGTGGTTTTGTAAAAGAAAAGAGATTATAAGATTTTTTTTATTTGTGTAATGCAGATCTTGTTCGAAACATCCTATCTACTTCCGAGTAGGGGTAAGATCTGCGTATTACAATGTGAAGGAGCTTTTCCAACCTAAATGCAATCCTAAATGAGGCCTACAAGACCTAACAATGTTTGTTTTAATAAATTTTAAGTGGGTTGACTAATCACACTTGTTATTCTAAAGGGTCAGCAAGTATTGTTTCTACGCACAAAAGAGCTTTTTGAGTATTGAGCATATCCAAAAAATGTTGTGAATATATTTCATGAGTTTAGAGTGACATCTAAATAGGCTCTAATAAGACTAAAGAAATCAAAAGAAAGCTGCTTGGTCACGTGATTTTATGGGAAAAAACGACTCGTGTCAAGTTTTTCCCTAATTTATACATAAACTAGCTTTGCTAGCTTCCCAAAATTAATCTTAGACCCCTAACACCTAAACCCCAAGAACATAGAGGAGACATGAAGAAAATCTGAAAGTACTTAATGGAGAGCATTAAGACGTTTACAATAACGACAACCAAATGTAATTCCAACTTTGTTGGGGTCTATTTGGGGGGGGGGGATGTACTCAGTCTTACCCCTGTAAGATGCAGAGAGATTCATTCTGTTATACCATTGAATGCATTGTTGCATTTAGTATCCAAAAGTTTATTGAAAGTAAGAAGCAAAGAAAATTTACTGTGCCATTAAAACGTTTATATTAACAAAATGATACAAGTTCCGAAGCATGGAAACCCCGCACGTACCACAAGAGGAAGAGTCAAGAAGCCCCAAATAGGCCACAATGAATACGTGAGCCTGCATCAAATTTTCAATTTTAAGCAAAATAGAAAAAAAATGGTCTCAAAAGATACAATTCAATTGTGTAAGAAAACAGGCAGACTTCCTCTTACAAGCAGAAAGACAGGAGGCCATTGAAAGTTAGAAATGGCAAAGCAGCAATGCTAGAAATTTCCCACTTCTCCCATGATTTTCTGATTCCCCAGGCTAATGTAATAGTAAACAAGAAAAAGAGAATATTCAAGCCAACAGCAAACATCCCCAAATACATTGGTATTCTGCAGGACAAATATTTTTTAAGGATGTTAGCTGAAAAAACATGAACGGAATAAAACACATACTAATTAATCCATGTAAAGCACCATCTTATGCAAGCCATATAATGAAAAGCATTTTACAAGACTTGATGAATTTGAAAAAATCTTCTATCTCATGAAACTCATAAACCAAACCGGGACCCATTATTAAATGTTACTCCCTCCTTCCCCAAAAAAGAGTCCCTTTTCAAAAGTTCTTTGGTCCTAATACAAGGGACCTGTACCACTATCGTTTTCATATATTGTCAATAACTTGCAAAAAAAGGTCTCAACCAAGTTAAACATGACACATTTAGTTAAACTAACAAATAAGTTTTGAAAATACAAACATGAGTTCCTAAAATATTTAATTTTGTACATTATCAATATTAAAAGTTGAGTAAAAACCAAATAGAACTCAATATTTTGGGATAGAGGGAGTATACTAATTTTTGTACAATAGTTTCTTCCGTGTATGCTTGTATACAATATACCTCTTCGATTTCCCAATCCCCCCAAAAAAGAGTCTTGTTTCATGAGCTTTTACTATCCCAAGAAGAGTCTTGTTTCAAGAATTTTTAATGCCCAAAAAGGCAGCACAGTTTAAAAGTCAGCATTCACTTTTAAGTAGAACTCTTGAGTTCCTATAAGGCCAAGCACAGTACTACTCTGATATTAAACTATTAAAGACAAAGAGAGTACTGTTAAACTATTTGTGTCATTCTTTTGGGTATAATTTTGCAACATTTTTTCCTCTAAAAAACAACATGGATGAAAATCTCAACTGATTTCTTAAAGGCACTGCCAACTTGAATGCACCTTACAACACAGAACAGATGGAGTGTCCGAGTATGTGTTATGTGATGACACATATCAACAACACCAACTCAATAATTAAATTTGACATTTCTTATCAAATTATAACCCATTAAGCAATATGGTGTTTGTTATACTTCCCACATCAACTGTCCATCATAATTCATAACAAACACATATTGAGTTTGTTTAACAATGGCCAAAGCTAGGATAAACTTTCATTGGATCACATTGAAACGAACGTGGGTGGGTAGGGATCAGAGCGTATAAACATGAGAACCTCGGCCTTTTATTCATGTCTATGAGTATCACGCATCCGTTGGCTAATGCGCTTGAGTCTTGTATATGAGTGTTAAGTAAAGTTAACCTCTTAAAAATTCTTTCAGGATGAGTCAGACCCAAAATAACAATGATAAAAGAATAGCCACAGCAGTTACAGCATGATCCTAAAATGCTGTTTTAAGTAACAATGCATATCAAGTGAAAAACAATCTCCTCCAAATATTATTAGAGTATAATTGTTGTTGTAGGCATAATGACATAAACTAGATTATTCAAAATATACCATCACGCCTCTTAAATTGTTTTAAAAATAATCCTCTGAGTTGAGCCTGTATATCTAACCCATAACAAAGGGTACCATTCCACTAACAGTTTAACACAATGTATATTGAAACAAATTATACTTTATAGTATTTATCAGTTTTTGGACATAAAACAGGAATGATTAATCTTCCAATAACCTGTAAAGAAGTTAATAAACAATCATTTACAAACAATCAACAAAGAACATCAAAGCCAAAAACTTACTGAAAACTTCTGAATTTTCAAGGCAAGCAAGTCAAGAACATACCTTCGAATGCGACTATCATGCCATAGTATGTAAATTAAATTGTAGTTGCGATCACCATAATAGATGAAAAAAATAGCCGAAGATATCCAAATAAAGTTTTCTATAACCTCAGCCCAACTCCGTGTAGGTGTAGGATATGAAGGCAAATCCATTAAAATTCTAGAACAAGCATCATCCTCAAGATCATCACCGCTCGAAAAATACCCTAGACTGTGCCTCTGCCTCACAAATCCACCTCCGACAGTCGGAGATCCTCCCGACATATCCTCACCAGATTCTAAGCAAGATGACTACAACACCCTCACACTCAAAATGTAATCAAAGAACTGTATCCTCATCCGAGGAGCACCAACCAAAAAAAGAACTCAAATTCAAAAAAAATCAACCACAATAAATCTCACACTGTCAATTCACAATGCCACCTCTTGAAGCATTTGCATAGAAACGCACCCAAAACCAGAGCATAATCACTTGTTCAATCCCACAGATTCAGTACCATTATAAGAACAATACCCATCAATCTCCAAAGATATCTTTGAAAAAACACGAATTTCTGATAAAACCCACAGCAAAGATCAAATCTTTTACCCAACCCAATTCACGCATTACCGAAGACAATCAGACCCGGGAACTTCCTGTGAGTGGGTATATTAGAAATCAGAAATGGGCTGAATCAATGCAGCAGACAAGAAGAGAACAAGTTACCTAAAATTACTCGAATTCGGGATTTCAGAGGCTTTGGTAGGGTTGGAGGAAGAACGAGACCCACCTGGTATTGTAGTACTTTAATGCTCTCAGATTATGTTCGTTACTTGGATTTGGAACTCCGAAGGTTTTCGGTTCATTGTATTTCAAATGACCACCATTTTTGGTAAAAAAACGAAGAAGAAGTAATCTGAGTATCTATTACATTTATTTATATGGTATATTAACACAATAAAATACATTTTTTGATAGTTTTTTCCAAAATAAATGTAATACTAGGGCCACTAGGCATGTCATTTTATACTAATATCTCATTGTTCTCTGTCCTTAAAAGTACGAGAGATTTTGTTTCTTAAAAGATTTAAAAAGAGTGTATTTTAATGCTTAGTTTTTAAAAATGTTCTTGGATGTGATTAGTAAAAAACAAATTTGATGGATAGATTAATAGTAAATATGTGTGATATGATAAATAAATTAAGAATTAATAAAGGTAAGAATAATTCTTAAATGAAAATGAGGAAAAAGTTTTTGGAACAGATAAAAAAAGAAAAGAAAAAGGTTTTTAGAAATAGAGAGAGTATATTTTTTATTATCAAAATTATCGAGCTTAACTCAAGAAAAATCAAACTCTAGAAATATTTTGAAACCAATAATAATCTTCTTTCTAAAATGTTTTCAAAATTAATTTACATTATTTAATTATTTAATTTGTATTCAAAATATTAATGTTACTGAAACACGTTATTCCCAAACAAGATTTATGTCACACTATATAATAATGTTCCATCTGTATGGTTAATGTCATCCCCTCTTGCTTCCTTGCCAACTCACCACCACCTCTTTTTTTTTTTTTTTACTTTCTCTTATCTTCTAATTCTTGGGGGTGTGGTTTTGCCTTTCCCTTCCATTTTTTCATACTCCGAATCATAAAACATTTTTTTAACATTTCATTAGTATAAAATTTTAAAATAGAAAATATAAAAAATTAAATAATACTACGTACAGACTAAAATTATTGCATTATCAAAAAGTGCATAAATTTAAAATAAACTACTCCGTAATACATAAAGTGTGTTAAAAATCAAAAGTACATAGAAAAATTTAAAATGACATTAACAATATAAAACTACTTTAGAAACTATTCAACATCTAGAAGCGGTACGTGGAAGTGTGGAACATAAATCCACAAATGCTCAATCAAATTGACAGAGAAGTGATGATGCGTATATGTGTTGTGCAATGCAAGCATGCTCACCTTTTGTTATACGACATTCATCAGTTTGACATTCTTGAGAACGCTGTTCCATTTGGATTGTATTCACACCCATTTGGAAGAATCATCTGGGCTCTGATTAAAAGTTCTCTGATGATTGATTAAAATGTTAAAATGCAGTTAATAAATGAAATGTGAGTGACTAAGATTTGTTAAGAAGGTAAAATTAATTAAATAATTTTTTTAAAATGACGCTCAATCACTATGTTTTTTTTCGAAATATGTCTCAATATTATCTAATTACCAAGAAGATACTCACGCATTTAAAATAACATTCAACTTAATCCTCCAAATATCGGTCATCAAAATGACAGCAAAAGGCTAAAACTTACTACGGGATATATTAATTTCCTGAAATGTTGGGGTATTTTCGCACATTGGGATCCTTTTTGAAGAAAAAAAAACTCATCAAATATAGAAAAATTATTTTAGATTTTATATGATGAAAATATAATGAATAAAACTATAAATATAATTTCCTACTCCCTCCGTCCCGAAATAGATTACAATTTTTTTCTTTTCTTGATAACTTTTATTTATTTGTACATTTTTAGAGTATTTTATAAAATAAAATATTTTAAACTTTTGACACAATTTTTTAATGTGTAAGTTTTATTTCTTATTAACGTACCAATTTATAAATACAATAATTTCAAAAGACCAAAAATTTTGCCTCGTAACTCTAGGGACGGAGAGAGTAAATTTGAAAGTAAACATATTATATTGCTTATAATTATTTAGAACAATATTATGCAAATAAAATATTTAATAAACAATATCTATTTGCTCCTTTACGTTTGAAACGTGAGAGAGAGAGAATGGAAGTTCCTCTGTTGTCTTAAGGCATTAGCCATTTTGAGTTTTCGTCTCAGATTAAAAATGTTTTCATGATAGCAAATCTAACTGTTCACGAGTTCTAATATGTCATATCATAAGAAGCACGTCCTCGTATATAGGCTAGGATCGTGCGATTAAATAGTGTTGACACCACTCCCCAATTTTTCTGAGTCCATCTACATTCCCCTGACAATCAGAAACAATGAAATCGTGTGTAGAGTGAATGAACCTGGGCAAGAATCCTTTATCCCAAAATTATAATTATAACATGTGAAATTTGCACTGAATATGACTAAAACATAAGGTATTTTCCAATATAAGATTTAAACTTTTTTATTTCATAAATAAGACTTAATAATGACTAGTGAGAAGAATAATGTCCAAGTAATGCTGGACAATTAGTTATATAATGACTAATAAATAATGACCAATGGTCCTACATTGGGCAATAAAAATACATGGTCCTATATTGAGAAAAAGCATTATATTTTAGTCCTATCAATTACCATTATAAATTTATAACATTGTCATAAGATGTAGCGCCACCTATCATTACGAGTCAACCTCGAAGAATGGGTTAAGAAGGGGCCGGTCAAATGAGTTAGGCATGGGTCTGGGTAAGTTAGATTTCGATGTTCGGGTTCAAAAATGTTTCAAAACCTAGCAGGTTTGGACCACCCACCGGGTCAGTGACATTAGTTTTATTTCATCATTAAATTTCAAAACACTTATTTCATTTAATTTTTAATTTAATATTTTTTAAAATCTATATTTTAAATAATAAAATAATAAATTTAAACAGCATAGCTGGGTAAAATATATTTCCCCCATCCCAAAATGTTCGCCACATTTGTTTTTCAACAATCACAAGAACTTTTGTTTATTTATACGTTTTTTTCGATTATTTTATAAAACAAAATATTATTGACACTTCTTAAATTGAAGAAATTTTCATACTACGTATATTTTTTAAATATGTAAATTTTATTTTTATTTCTATATCAATATTTAAATCAATATTTAAATAAAATAAATTGAAAATACTTGATATTTTACCTCACTTTTTGAAATGCGGCAAAGTCCTTTAGTGGTAACCCAATTTGTAGACCCTAACACAGAAACCACAAAAATGGAGATGTTCATGAGAAATTTAGAGGGAAGATGAGGAATAATTATTAAAATTATCTAGGGTTTAGATTAATTTATTTGCATTGGACAAGCGCACAATTAACACACTATTTAGATACACGAAATTAGATACAATTATTGAGAGTAAAAAGTATTCACTCAAATTCGAAAAGGATGGATGGCTCAAGTCCATAAAAAACGATCAATTAACTCAAAAAAATGTAAGATTGAATCTCAAAATCCATAGATATGTGAAAAAGAACACAAGATACACGAATCCAATCATCATATAAAGAAGCATTTGTACAACATTCTTAGAAGTTCAGGATGCATTAGTGCATTTTTTAATCTCCAGAGGAAAACCACACAATTTTTAAACAATTTGGGAGGAAATGTTGTAAAAAAACTAGTATATTATTTGAGTTTAGACATGCGTAATTGGATAAAGTATACAAAGTTCAAGCAAATTTTGTACTGCAGTGTTAACCCAACGGGGAGACCCGAAAATGAAGGTGATGTTCGTGAGAAATTTAGAGGAAGGCAAAGAAATTTAGAACATCACAATTCAATGAGAAATCACAAGAAAAACCTTACAACCAAGTGCAAGGGCTCGAACATAGAACAACGTCAAAGAAGAGACGGTTCATGCAACAATGAAGGAAGAAATAGTAGTGCTTTTGCAATGATCTTAGTGATGGCCGATGGGGTCCTGAAAGAATCATTTGTCTTTAGCAAACAATACTTGTAGTAAATCAGTATTAGCAAGTAAATTAAACAAGAAATGAACGAGAGATTATGCTTAAAAGAAGAAAGACAAAAGGACATTGATGTTCAAGCAATGAAATAGATTTTAAATCTTGTAGAAACACACCACGAACAGCAAGTACCTGGTAAGTAAGCTCATTTTACTCCTTAGCCACCACCTATCTTCTTGCTTGTCCCTGTTCAATTCAAAAAGTAAAGCTCAACAACATATACTACAACAACAACAACCCAGTTGAATCCCACTACAGTAGGGTCTGGGGAGGGTGTGTGTACGCAGACCTTGCCCCTACTCGGGAGTAGGGAGGCTGTTTCCAAGAGACCCCCGGCTCAACCTGCACAAAAATATGGAAGGAAACATAGTATAACACGGGTAAAGAGCCCAGTACAAGCAACAAGTAAAAGCAATAGCAAAAGATTTCAAACAAACACAACATACTACAAACAACCTCTACAACACCGAGCTCCTATCCAGCTACTCTAATCCTAGTTCTCCAAAGGTTCCTATCTAAGGCCATATCCTCAGTCAGGGTGAGAATTCCTAAATCTTGCCTAATCACCTCCCTCCAATTCTTCTTAGATCTACCCCTTCCCCTACTTTCCCCGATAACCGTGATCCTGTCGCATCTTCGTACAGGGGCGTCAGCATCCCGCCGTCTCACATGACCAAACCATCTCAACCTCGCTTCCCGCAACTTATCTTCCACCAGCGCCATGCCCACCTGGCGTCGGATATATGTCCAAAGGACTACAATGACAACTCAAACCTACCTTCCAAACAGATTCGTTTTTGTGGAGGTTCGTCACACTCCTTGGAAGATACAGAAGTACCCGCCTCCTAAAATGCAAAGACATGAAACTCTATGTGTCAAAATTTATTCACAACCTTGTGTGCTAAAAAAAGTCCTATAAGTAATGAATAACAATATTGATGTAATAACAAATAACATAACTCATTTACTAACCTTTGTTCAAGCAATGAAATAAGTAAGATAAAAGGACATTACTATAAGTAATGAATAACAAAGAAGTATGGGGAATAAAAATAAAGAAAAATCTCCCGCCGATGTCTCCTTAGTTAACTATAGCGAAACTCCACATGATCAAAGAAAATTATGGATTCTGAATGATGATTTGGGTATAATGAAAGACTATCTTAGTCTCTTTGATTAGATTCGTGAGTGGGGTTGCAAGGAAGAGTTTGATTTTAGGGTAAATAGATCTCTTCGATGTAAGGGGGGATGTGTATCCCTTAATTAAAGTTTCAATATCTACACCCGGAATTCTTGAAAAAAAACTTTCTTATTTCAAGATCATCCTTGTATATTCTCGCATTTCATTCTGCTAGATATGGATGGTTAGTGTTTGACGATTCAGAATTTGAAATTGTTTTTTTCTAAGAAATTCGAAAAATTGGAAAGGCCGGCGAAGTATTTGACAGAAGAATGGAAAGAGGTTGGACATGGTGCCATGATTGACGCCCTGAAAAAGGATGGAATATCAGAAAATGTAGCAGAAGGGCGTGAGGTCTTTATGCTTCACTTGTGCAAGGCAAGTCTTCTCAGATTAGTGCAACTAACGATCGATAAGACCTTAACCCCTATCCCTCAGGATGTGATGACAACAATGAAGAGTTGAGGATCCGAGCAGGAACTCTGTTGATATTCTTGGTGACTTAGCCCCTTTTATGATAGATTTGACCAAGTCGGTTGATTGCCATCGCGCAACTGTGCATTGCATTAGAAAGTTCAAGCAATTGTTCAAGACTTGGTACGAATATAGTCTTTCTAGTAGAGAGCTCTTTGAGTTAGATGTTGACATTGCAAATTCGTGTGGTGTTCGAACAGTTCCACAAAATGTTAGCAGTAATGTCCTTTTATCTTGCTTGAACATGTAACTGTTCGAATAGCACACGAATTTGCAATATCAACATCTAACTCAAACAACTCCCCACCAGAAAGACTATATTCGTACCAAGTCTTGGATAATTGCTTGAACTTTCTAATACAATGCATAGTTGTGCGATGACAATCAACTGACTTGGTCAAATCTATCATAAAAGCAGCTAAGTCACCGAGAATATCAACAAAGTCTCCACTTCCTACTCGGATACTCAACTCTTCATTTGTTGTCATCAGTCGAAACATCCTTAGGGATAGGGGTTAAGGTTTTAGCGATCGTCAGTTGCACTAATCCGAGATGACTTGCCTCACACAAGTGAACCATAAAGACCTCACACCCTTCTGCTGCATCTTTTGATACATTTGTTTCCATCCTTTGCCGGGCATCAATCATGACACCAGCCCAACCTCTTTTCATGCTTCTGTCAAATATTTTGCCGGCCTTTCCAATCTTCCGAATTTCTCAAAAAAAAAAACAAATTCAAATTCTGAATCGTCAAACACCAACCATCCATATCTAGCAGAATGAAATGCAAGGATAAACAAGGATGATTTGAAAATAAGAAACTTTTTTTCAAGAATTCTGGGGGTAGATATTGAAACTTCAATTAAGGGATACACATCCCCCTTACATAGAAGAGATCTAATTCCCCTAAAATCATACTCTTCCTTGCAACCCCACTCACGAATCCAATCCAAGAGACTAAGATAGTCTTTCATTATACCCAAATCATCATTCAGAATCCATAATTTTCTTTGATCATGTGGAATTTTTCTATGGTTAACTAAGGGGACATCAGCGGGAGATTTTTCTTTATTTTTTCCCCATGCTATCAATAACACAAGTTCTACCAAACGTTAGCAGTATGTAGGATTCCCCAAGGAAGATGTAATACTCCTTCAAAAGAAAAATCCTACAAATTTTGTAACAATTCTGCATTAAAAAAACACTATTTCAGCACAAATCAAACATTAAGAAGAGTTAGTGGAAAAAGCAGTGACCTTTAGGGTGCATTTGGAATGGGGAAATGGATGGAAAAATTTATAACATGATTTTGCAAAAGTGATGGTAAGCACCCAGTTTTCTTTCCATCCATTTTCAACAAACCAGTAACAACTTTGCATCATGTCTCAACATTTGAGCATGAAGCAGTAAACAGTAAGCAAAAAACCAGTAACTTAACACACTGAGCTAAACAGTGATATAGGCAAGCAAAACTGTCTTCCAGCTAAAATCCACAGCTATAGTTACTGATTATTAGATGAAGAGAAAGATAAACAGGTAGATATAATTGATTGGATGCCAAATAAAAATAATAACGATCAAAATATACGAAGGAGCATAAAATTCACAACAGAAACAATTCACGTTTATAATAAACGCCTTAATGGAATCACAATTATAAGACTCATAAAGTCATCTCCACCAATGAGTGTTTACTGTTGGACCCCAAAATAATAAATAACCTGATTAACACACCCTACAGTTTGGACAAACCCGGCAGTCCAACCCGAATTTTACAACATTTATTTGATAAAATGCAAAACAAATTGTGTTGGATCAGGAAAAATTGTTCGAATCAAGGATGAGAAATTTTTAGAGCAAGAGTATGTCAAGAATTTTTAGCAAGCTGGAACATGAACTCACTAAACTGACGTAATTAAGAATCAAGCTAGCACATCTTAAAATCAAGCAACTAATCAACTAATCCCTTTACACATGAAACTTATTTTCTGTCACTCCAACAAATCACCAATGACCAATGGCCTTGCAACAGACTCCCTCCATTGGACCAGAATCTGTTTGACAGGTTAATACCACACTAAAATGGTTAAATAGGCATAGGCTAAAAGGGAAGGAAATTTTCCAACACACTTTGTTGTGTAAATCCCTACCTCAATCCCCCGGAAATTCATGGGAACAATAACAATAGTTGATATTAGTACAAAAAACACAGTTTAACTTGCAATTGACAGCCCATAAGTATTTATTTGGTAATTAAAATTGACAGCCCAAGTGACGTGAATGATATTAGTACCTATAGGTTACTAATACATTAAGTTAGAAACCAAAAACAAACAAGGTTCACCATACTTGTCAAAGCAACAATACTATTAACGAAACAACGCAAAACAAGTCAATGAAGATTGATGTATCATGAATTTTAATACCATTCTTAATATTCTCCATCGATCCCAAACTTGAATCTTCAAATTTTTTATTTAAATAGAGTTTCAAGTCTCAGAATTCCAAGGAAAACAACATGCTACGACTCCCAGGGGTGCTACATGCCAAGAGATCAACTTGAAAATAACCGAGGCATTTAATAACATTCTACTGGTACAAAAGAGAAATGACATAATACCAAGGGTAGCTGAAGTCTGATGACACGATAGGATTGCATGCCTACATACAATACACACACAAAGAGTTCAGTCCAAATGCACATAAAGAAAAAGAGCTGAAGACGATAAATGGCAAGAGTTATGATAGTGTAAGAGACGAGATTTACCCCACTCATTTGTTCGTCTTCACTCTCTTCTTCGCAAGATAGTGTTGGAGACATTTCATCACCAGATGACTTTGAGTATAAAAGACAGAGGAAAGCATTGTCAACTTAATAAGACAGATAATCAATTAAAAACCACATAAATTTTAATATGAGAAAATTAAATTACAACCAAAATCTATTAGTGAGATTAAAAGTACCTCATGGTCGCCCTTTTGTTCATCATCACTGTCATCTTTGCTATTCCCTCTGTCCCAAACTAAATGGTGTGTTGTTGTTTACGAGGTTTGACTAATTTTTTTCAAATTAATTTATTGAAAATTGGTGTGAAATTTAAAAATAAAATTTATTTAAAAACTTCATAAAAAATTCTACAAAACAAAAGGTTACAAGACTATTGTTTTATCAGATGAATAGCAAAAACGGGTAAAGACCGTTAAAGTTTGACCTTGTGAATAATAAACAAGCTACTTAAATTGGGATGGAGAGAGTAGTTTCTAATGAAAGATCAAGGTTTTAAAAGGCGAAAACTAGCCTCGAGGTGGTAGAGGAAAATGCCTCAAGGCGTAAGCCTCGAGGCGGAACAAGGCGTAAGCCTCAGATCAACTTGATAAATTTATTGTTTGTTTTGTTGAAAATCCATTTGTTTTACGTATTAGGTATTAATACAGTTTATTCAGTAATTCATTATGTATTCAAAAGTAAATTTCGTTTTTTCCCCCCGTTTTATTTTTGCGTTATTGATAATCATGATTCAAGATAACCAAAACACTAAAAAAGTTGATGTAAAACCAAACTATATGTAAAAGATTAACTTTAAAGTAATTATAAATTATAATATAAACAATTTAACAATGAAAAATCTTAAAATTTAATAATGAAAAATCTTAAAATTGGCTAACTTAAAATTATTCAAGTTGCTGGAATTTTGGAAAATAAAATTACCAGAGTAAAAAAAAAGTTAAAACAAATCTTCAAGAAATCATAAATTTGTACCTTAAGAGTGAAACAGAATAGGAAGCCAAATTGCACAGGGAAAGCCGCGACCAGAGAGAAACAACCGGAAGCCAGAGAGAAAGAGAGAGACGGCGAAAGAGAGAGAATCGGAAGCTGGACAACCACGCAGGTGTGCGATTGGAAAATTGGAACTTTAAGTGTTTTTATTTATTTATATTTAAGTAGTGCTTCCTGCCTAACTTTTTCAAAGGGGCCAGCTATTTGAAGGCCCAATAACTTAAATTCAAAAGGGCAGAATATGGCTTATACGGACTATATTTCAAGGCGAACGCCTTGTTTCCGCCTCAGCGCCTTACCGCCTCGAACCGCCTCAATAAATCAAGGCGTACGCTTCGCGGAAATCATCTGGTGCGAACGCCTCTGGGGCAAAAAACTACCGCCTCAGCGCCTTACCGCCTCAGGGCGGACCGCCTTTTTCGCCTTTTAAAACCATGTGAAAGATGACTTGAAAAGATGAAGAGGGAGGGAATAAATCAGTTCCAAAAAAAGAGAAAGTAGATAATAAAATGAACAATAGAAAAGTTTTATTTACAAAGTAAATTATAGCCAAAATTTAGAAGTAATATAAAAATTACCTTATCATTAAAGCATTTTCCATGAGGCACAGGAGAGAACCATTCCACACTCACATAAATAAGAAAATCATCAACAATAAACTTATCATCAACAAATCATCATAATTTTTTGCTCTGTTCCATATTCAGACAGGTCCACGTCAATGAAAATAGATGAATGAGCTGAAATACCAACCCAACATCTAGACAAGGTCATCCATGCGCACATTGTTGCCATATCAAACTCCACTCGTTCAAATTCGTTGGACTTCTCAAAAAGCGTATAACTCCCAAAACTGTCACACGGGCGAGCAACAATCACTCCTTTCACGTTAAGAGAAGGATCACCGTTTGTAAAACCTTTTTTTGCGGGAGAAACACACTTTTACACGACCTCGAATAGCAAATGGTATGACATTGTGGCACAATACAAGGGTGCCACAATCGCAATGAATGCATTCTTCTTTGACTTTTTCCATGTCAGCCACATCGTTGCCGAATTGAAACTGTGCAAATAGGTTGTTATCCTCAACAAAAAGATCCACAACAAACTTGCAATAATCCAATGGCATACCAGTATTAAATGGCCATTGAGAGTAATCTTGGTTAATCAGAGATAATCTATCATTCGACTCAAGGACTTGAGTATCACCCCTATTTCGACTGTATAGATCATGGACAATGGTTTCTCCACTAATGGTATCATAGAATTCAACATAAATTCGACCATAGATGGAGAATGGTTTTTTTTGGTCAGATAAAAAACTAACAGAAGCAACTTGAACTAAAGGGCCCACTAATACTGATTCTCTACCGTGGAGTATCTCATCTTCCCTTTTCTTATGAAGTGAAGATACCCTACAAAAGAGCCTACAAATAAAAGTATGCACAGTTTAAGTTAAAAAATGCAATGTAAATATAATTAAACTTTGATACTCACTATTGTTGCACTCAGTCTACAAATATAAGCTATGTAAGGGGTGGGGAACTGGAGGCAGTGGCAGACCCGGAACAGGGCACTTGGTGCACAAGCAAAAATGCAAAAAAAAAGAACTTCTATTAGTAATAAATCTAAATTCCTAGAGAAGTAAAAACTTCACGGCCGAAAGGAAGATCACCCATGGCCACAAAACTTGGGGGGAAAAAAGAGAGAAAGATTTGAGATGAAATTGGCTAGAATCACTCACCTTTCAAAGAACAAGGTCGGCCGTTGTTGGGGTCCGAACGCCGGAATACGGTAGCACCCCTGGCCTCCCGCGTCCTCTGTCGTCGACCCTGCGCAGCTGCTCCAAGGAGTACAAGCCCTAGCCACTGGCAGCAGCCCGAGAGATAGCTTGAAGTAGGGGTGTTCATCGGTCCAGGACCGGACCGGACCGAACCGGACCAAAGACCGAAATGAGAAAAATAAAGACCGAAGACCGGACCTATTAGAATTCGGTCTTGGACCGGTCCGGACCGAAATTCTTCAGACCGAACCGGTTGGGACCGAAAAGACCGAAATTTTTTTAAGTTCCTACAATTAAATATTTAAATATTGTATAAGCAAAACACCACAGTTGACAAAGATGCGTGGAATCATAAAACTTAACAAAGATGCATCGTAAAAAGAAATTTGCAGCACCCATGACAAATATGCATTACAAAAAATAAGTAATTAGCACCCAAAAAAATGAAACCACGGAACTGGAAGCAAATAAAAAGTAATCTGCTGCATCCATTGATTCCATTCACAGAACTTGTAGCAAAAACACCACAAATGTAAATGCACCCATAAAAAATTAATTTGCATCCATCCATTCACCAAAAAAAGCAATTTGTAGAATCCATGACAAATTTAGAGAGCCAGGATATGGGGACTTCATTCACCAAGGACTGCATAGTCTAATTTGTAATTTAAAACAGTGGACACTGGACATCACTCAGTTTTTGTTCAACACAGAGGCGCATCTCATTCCCATCAAACTAAATCCATTCCAAACAAGCATGATTCCATAATTGTGAACATGAACATATTATACTGTAGTTATGAAGCAGGCAATGGAATTGGAAATTTTACCCTTTTGAGAAGCCTCAACACTCCACTCCAGATCTCCAGCAATTTATAACTTCTAAATTTCTCAGCAATTTCCACATTTTAGTTGACAATCGGATAAAAAGAGAAATACAAAACCGTGCGTCCGTGCAATTGTGAGAAGGCTTGGAATCTTTAGTCGGAGAAAATGACGGAGAACATGGGGTCGATTTTAGAGGTAGAGGGAGTGGGGACTTCGATTTCAGAGGGAGATGTAGAGTCGATTGTAGAGAGGGAGAGAAGACGATGATGTGCGAGAAGCGAGAGGTTGGCGGGGGATTACTGATTTACAAGGATGGATTTGTGAGGCTAAGAATCGGATAAGGCTCATAAGGGTAAATAATCGGTCTATGGGTCCAGACCGAAATTTATTCGGGTATAGACTGGACCGGACCGATACCCGAAATTAAAAATTATCCGGACCGAAGACCGACCCGATATGATGTCGGTCCGGGTTTGGTCTGAACCTATCGGTTCGGTTCGGTTGGTTTTTTCGATCCAGACCGAAACATGAACACCCCTAGCTTGAAGTGTCAACACCTCAAAATTATCAGTTTCTACATTATTCGAATATATACTCCGTATTTCGGTAGCCCTAATACACCTCAAAATTCATTTTGTCTATTTAGTCGTTGTGATTAAAATTTATAATATACTCCCTCCGTCCACCTTCTTTGTCCACTTACCTTTTGGCACACCATTCAATGCACTTCTTTAATCCATTTTATCTTGTAATTTGTATATTAAAAAATTATTGAAATTATATATTAATAATCTATATGTTAAGACAAATCAAACAAGATCACACATGACTATCTTTAGGCTTACACATTGAGAGAATTTGATGAGTCAAAGTGCTTAGATGAACAGTTCCAAAAGTCAAAACTGGACAAAGAGAGTGGGACGGAAGTAGTATTAACAAATTTAAAATTTTATCTTGAAAATTACTTTTACTTTTAAATAAAAAAAATTCAATTTGTCAAAATAATGAAATTTTCAATCCTAACGCCTATAGGGACGCAATGTACCGTTGCAATATAACATCACAAATTTTCAAGACTCTAGAGCATATTTTGGATAATATAAGACTTGAAAGCTTTTACTAGAAAATTGAGGTTATTCGTAAATGTATTTTAGATAATGCAGGACTTTTGAGTTATTACTATAAAACCAATGGAACACCGAAGTAATTTTCTAAAATAAAATTGGGCTAAGGCTCCACTTCATTTGATTGATCTAATTCGATTTCATTTGATTTTCTAAAAATTCGATTGGATTTAATATGATTTCATTAGGTATGATCTTATTAGATGTGTCTCTGATTAATATACTCCTAAATTAGGGTGTAGGGGACCGTTGGTGCAATGTTTAAAAATATTCAATGACAATTGTTGCAATTTTTAAAATTCAGGAGAATTCACACAATTTCTAAAGAGTTTAAGTGTAATAACGCAAAAAACTCAGTAAAAATACATTCAAAGCACAAAATGGTTCATAATGAGAAGAACAAATCAAGTAAATAAAAAATCACACCAGGAGAATAGCCGAATCATAAATGCGTAAAATCTGAAATAAGAATCACCCTTTGTCTTGCTATCACTGAGTCTCTCCGTCTCTAGAATGTCATTTTCGCGATAGTCTTCACTTAGGCTATTGTTTTGGATTGAAATTTCAAAATTGAATGTTGCAAGAAACTGAAAAAAAGTTGAAAAAAAATAGAAAAAGTTAGAAAAAAATTAATAAGAGCTGAAAAATGTTTAAAGGATTTAAATGTTAAAAAGGCACTCAATTAAAAATAATCACTCAGATAAAAATGCAATGAAACTTTAATTTTGGATAAAACAGAATCCATCATTCTCTTTGTTTGAGGTGATATGTTATAAATTTGAATACATAATTTTATTGTATTTTAATCATATATAAATATCTTTTTAAATCGTTCTTGAAAAAAACTAAAAAAGAGTTAAAAGAAAGAGTAAATTTCATAAAAGGTCCCCAGTTATAGGTCGTTTTACATATTTAGTCCCTACATATCAAATATTACTTATTTAGTCCCTAATTATTATATTCATTTCCACGAATGGTCCTTTGTTAACATTTCCGTTAAAAACGTAGATAAAATTGTAAATTCACACTCCTTTCTCTCCTCAAATAAGTTTCATCCTTCCTTTCGTACTCTTTCTCAAACTCGTCGCTGAGTTTGAAGCTCTAAACCCAAAACTGAAATGATCACCCCTCTCTAAAATCAAAACCAATAAGCTTTATGGATGAGTTTTATCGGTTAGTCTCAAGAAATTGCAAAGAAAATAAACATTAAAATTCATCCATGAAGGTTACTGGTTTCACATTTGGGTTCCATCAGTTCGACAAACAATTGAGAGAAGAGTGATAATTTCAAATTTGGGTTCAAAGCTTCAAACTCAGCGACAGATTTTGGAAAGGAGTGCGAGGGGAGGGAAGAAGCTTAATTGAGGAGAGAAAGAAGTGTGAATTTACAATTTTATCCACGTTCTTAACGAAAATGTTAAAAAAGGACTATTCGTGAAAATGAATATAATAATTGGGGACTAAATAAGTAATATTTGATATGTAGGGACTAAATATGTAAAACGACCTATAACTGAGGACCTTTTATGGAATTTATTCTAAAAGAAATGAAAAAGAGCACAATGTTAGTAATGGTAGCATAGCAAGTGGCCAAGTGGGGCTTGGAGTGTTCCTCGAGAATACAGGGCTTCCTTTAAAAAGAATATTAGGCCCTTAAATATTAGGATCTTATTTAAGGAATAAATCATAAAACTCTTATTTTGATATTTTCTTTATGTTTTATTCATATTTAAAATGATTTTTTTAAATTTGATTCGATGGTATTAAATGCAATTATGCTGGCAAGAATATTGTGGTCTGATTTTTTATTTTTTTTGCAATAGGGTGATTTGATACGTTTATCACTTATTTTTGAAAGTCATATTGTGACACTAAGGCATTATGCCCCATCATTATAACCAAAATTAGATTCATTGGATCTACTCAAAGAAAGGAACTCCGGTCACTAGTATCAGACAAGAAATTAACAAGGATGAAATAAGTAATGCTCGGAGAAAATGGTACAGTCCAAACATCAAAATAGGTCATGAATCATGATCAGATTGAAAAGTGTGTGTTTGTCAACGTGTAATCGGCTAGGACCCACGTTGAGCTCACAGTAGCAACAACATTCAAGTCACATACAACACCAATGTTGACATTGCTAGCGTCTCATAAACAATGAGTGTTTTACAAATGACTATTTTGGGTGTGATCGTCTATGATAGTGTCATGCTTGGTGTCATTTACAGGGTTAAAGTAGCATTTCATATGAGAAGGGCAAACTAGAATTTCATTGAAATATCTTTTCTCTAAATAGTACAACCATTTCTTCCGGGAGGAAGAATTCAATTGGTCACTGAGCCACTGCTCAGGCTAACCAAGTCCAGCAGTGTGGAGTACAATACGCCTAAAGACAAATAACCTAAGAACTTCCTTCTTTCGGATTCACCAATACTAACCTCGACTTGAACCTTGTGTTCTTCAGAATAACCATCCTCCATCACCAACCACCAAGATATGTACCCGATGGGATCTGTGGGGTCAACGTGTGCCATGAGACCAACGGTCTCACCTTCTTCCAGCTCAAACCACAGCGACAAAAAGTCCCTATTGGCCTTTATACCCACCATAAGAGCTTCCTCATGAAGCCACCGTATGATTTGGCTCGCTACCTACAAAAACAAAAGTTCAGCGGCATGTTTGATTCTGAAACATGTGCGTTTCTAAAGGGCAGCCTATATGAGAATAGATAATCTGTAAAACCTACCAAAGTTCAAAATATATCTGCATTTTTTAACAACCTTGGAAGTTTATACTCACCTATATATCACAAGGACAAACTTGGAAGTTTAAAACAAAACAATTGATACATTAACAGCCGTGCAGGTCAAAGTGGAAATTTTCGATGGGGACAAAGTATTTTTCTCTCTCCATAAACTACACATTCACTTTATGTCTTTATCATGAAAAGACAATTGGAAGAAAATGTGAAACAAGAACACACACCTGCTGCAGCAGAACAGCAGGAAGACCTGCTAAATCACAGTCATATCTGTTCAAAGAGCACATATCATAAGACTTCTCTTTGAATAGACCCACAACATTTGGGGCACCTTCACCTTCCACACTTATGCAATCATCATACACTGAAACCTTAGTGCGGAACTGAGATTTAACATTCTTGACCAGGTATGATGAGTTGACTCCACTGCCTGAGTTGAGAATTGACTGAGGCCCCTTCATCAAGAGCGTCCACGCAGACTTTCGAGAGTGCCAAGTGAGGTGAGAAATCAATTCCACATAAGGCATTTTGCTAACCTTCAACCAAAAATGCAGAGATTAATTGTAAGTTGATGCTGAAATTGAGCTGCCTTAAGGGGTTGTTTGGACCATGAAAAATTCTAGTGGGAAAGAGTAGAAGAAAATAGATAGAAATTTGAAAGGAAAGAAAATTTGGCAAAAGGCACTCAAACTCAATTATTTATATATGTTTGAAACTTCAAACTCATTTAGGTTATATAATCCAATTGAAAAAGACAAAGACGTGTGAGTGTGTGTGTACACACACACACATACACATAATTGTCAAAAGTTAGAATCAGATTTGATTTTCCATTGGATTTCTGAAGGTAAAACCAAACAGTAAAAAACTATTTCCTTCAGCTTTCTTTTTTCCTTCCCTGCAATTTTCATAACCCTGATGAATCAATTAATTAGAACATACCAGAGTTTCCAGCTCTGCAAGAACTTTGTTTGAGAACATCCTGTGAGCCAGAGACCGACAGAAATGACCCAGGAGATTTGAACTGTTCTTTGTAGGTGCAACAGATACTCGAGAGTTGATAGAACTTGATGATCTGCTTTTGGCTTTAACAAACACATGTTCATGGAAAATTTGTTGTAAATATATTTCAAAACTGGTTTGATTTACAGATCCTAACTTCTTCAAGTTCACTTTTCCATCATCTAATTTTGACCCATCAAAAGATTCCATAGGCATGACCACAGCACCCAATGTTTCATCACCTTCACCACTGGTTTTTTTATCACCTCCATCATGTGGCACAAGTGAAAGAGAGACAGATGCTCCTTGACCAATGCTTAAACGCAAAAAATTCTCTTGAACTCCTGTCATGTTGATTCTAAAAGATGGGTTGAATGCTTCACGATTCACAAGATCAAATACCTGGAAACACATGAAAATGGAAAATGGTAAAGAAAGTATTACTAGCCACAAAGGCATGTACTCTCTCCATAGCAAAAAGGAGTCATGTTCAAGAACTCTTTTATTTTGGAAAGGGACAAATTTTTATTGTGTAAAATCTTTTTGCTTTTTAACAAAATGTACCACAATTAACTTTTTTATTCAGCCAAAAAAAACTTTGTGAGTTTTTTTAATACCACACTAATGGTGAATCACTTGAAAAAAACCTCAGAGTTTGGAAACTTGATGTTTTGGACAGAGGGAGCATAATAAGATGCATCGTCATATCGATATATGGGTTTTCAAAGATAAGATTTTGCATTGAAGTGAAGTTTTTTTATGCAATAACGATGCAAAAGAAATACCTGTTCATAAAATATAGCCTTGTGGAGTTCACTTAGAACGCAATGTGTTTCTTTGACATGCTCATCATCACTTTTTTCTTTCTTAGATTCACTAGAAGAATCCATAATTGTGCCCTTCACTTCTGGCTTGGCCAATTGCCTGGAAATACCAGTTGAATGTGCACCATGAAACTCAAATTGGAGTGTTTTACATGAATCAGGTGGTAAATTCACAGCTAGCATTCCAGTCAAGTCATGCTCAACACGAACTGCAGAAGCAGAAGAAGGGCGAAATACAAGTGTTGGATCATGTAATGTATTGTCAATTAAGTCAATGTAAAATCCTTCATTTCCAGATGAGGCAGCAACCATCCTATGCCACTTAATTTTCCAATTCTGCTGCAATCTATCATTTCATCACAAAAAATATACATTGCTTTGATAAAAAAGAAACTGAAGATTATTACTATTATTATAATATTATCTATTATTATTATTATTATTATTATTATGATTCTAAACTGAAAACTATTTTCTTGATGCATGGAGACATTTTTTCAGAAACTCTGAAAATATCATCTTGCATCACCATCCAAAATAGATAAAAACTCACCTAATCAAAGCACCATAGAATCGTGCTTCCCTGGCTACTTGTTTCTCCAATGCTTTTGCAGATTTCTTAAAATACTTCCCCAAGTGCTGAAATTTTGAAGAGCTTGAGGATTGTTAGTATCAATTTTGAAAATGCTTGGATTTCTTAATTTAAAATACATCCAAACAGATTAAGAATTCATATTAGCAAGATATAAATGGCTTAGCATAGCAGGAAGAACATCAAGGCACCGGTATGATTTAGAAAGATACCCGAAAATTTTGTAGCTTGGTAGCCATAGACACGGCAAGGTCAGATAGAAGCTCATTTGGTAATTGCTTTGGCCTGGTCATACCAGCCACTGTTACGGCATCATTTGCTTCCACCTATATGGAGCATATACAAGGGAGTCATGCTCTCTTCAGTGTTTATTTATCCTTGGAAAAAGAAAAAAAAGTGAGGAACAACGATCAAGTAAAATTTGCACATCCAGATACAAACAAAAAGCACTCGACCAATTTTTCAAAAGATGGCACCTGGAAATAGCATAGAAACTATAATGAACAATCCATCCTAAAAGTGTTGTTCATCCCCATTACATGGCTAAGAACAAGAGCAAAAGCTAGTGGATAATGATAAAAAGAGAAGGATGAAATTTGTTTGGAACTTTTCTCTTCGAGGTTTACTCTACTCTTCTCTTTTCCTTTGGAATAGACACTAACACTATGTTTGGTTCAAGGAATTTGGAAGGAAAAGAAAAGAAAACGGTTTTCCCTCAGTTTTCTCACCGAAATGGGAGGAATTTGGTTTTCCATGCTCTAAGTACATTTTGCTTTCTCATTTTCTTTTCCTTCCACTTTTCTTTTCTTTTCCTCTCTAACCAAACAAGAAAAAGGTTTTCCTTCTCATTTCCTTTCCTTTTCCCTATCAAATTCCTTGAACCAAACATAGTGTAACTCTCTGTTTTTAAGGATTTCATGGAAAAATAGATAGTGGTTATAGTAGATATTGACGGTTTGAACTGGCAAAATAGTTACACTTAAACATTCCACATAAAGGAGATTCAAAGTTTCAAACAAATAATAATGCACTGCACAAAGATGGTGGGGAAGACGATCGAGGAATGGATTGAAATTGCTACAAAAGGATTAAAGATTGACAAACCGTGTACAATGCACGAGTCATCCATTAAAACTTTGCAAAAGAAATATCCCCCGGTAACAACTGAAAGTATGCATAAGCTTTTGCTTCAATGTTAATTTATTAGTAGTTCTCAACCTACTTGTTCAAGTTATTTTATGAACATTATATTTCCTGATGTCTCCTTCCGGCACGACATTTTGGGCTTTTAAGGTTTGCCATATCCCAAAAATCCAAAATAAACTTGACCCCGGCCCCATTTCTGTGCCTCTTAGCTTGTTCTTAATGAATTATAAATTGACCAGAAACCTTGGAGCACACAGTAAACTTAATAACATCTGGAAGAGGGGAATATAAATTAGTAAATTACAGTATTGATGAGATCAATAATGATGGAGAGTTCCTGGTGAGCCAGCTGCAGATTCTCCACTAAGCTCTGCCACTGCCATGGTTGATTTCCGCATGTCTCCTTCGACGAAGAACTCGAGACGGCAATCTTCTTCTGCTTCTTACTGGGATCCTCCCTCTCCACCGCCCACCCGAAGTCAATTCTCCTTATTAAGTTCACCGTCTTATCATCGTACCCTACATCACTTCAAAAACACACAAAAAAAGAATAATTTCAGCTTCACATGTTTCCAAAGCTGCACGGACAGCGGAAATTAAACGGAGAAGAACGTACGAAGGAAACCGTTCGACACCGTTTTCGTCGACGAATTCAATGCGGTTGATTGGAAGCTTGTCGATGGAGATTCGGAGGTCTTCTTCCATATTTTCCGGGATTCTATCAGGAATTTTTCATGGCTGGCTGGCTGAGAAGTGAGAAGCACCATGAATTAGATTTGCAGAAAGAAAGAAAACCCCGATGAAAAAGAAGAAGAATGTCGTAACTGGTGAACGCACTATGGGCTCGTGAAATGTCCTCATTCTAGCCTCTGCGGCCCAAACATTTTGTCATACCCAATTACTAAGATAGAATTTATTGCACCATAATCTTTTGAGATTGGGTAAATGTATACCGGTATTGCCACTTATTATTCTTTATTATTCTGATATAGCTATGTTAATGTCTCTCTAGAACAAAATATTCTTTAAATATTATGTGAATAACTCTATTATCCTCCATGACTTTGGAAATTGGTATAAATGTCCCCTCTTTCTTTTACTAGTATTTTAACCCGTGCCATGCACGACATCGAACATAATTTTTTCCAATTCTAAATTTTTTTCAACGTAATATATTTTCTTGATTCAAGTAAACATATTTGTAACACGATTTTTAATTAATGAACAACAACGAAAAAATAGAATAATTTATATTTGAGGAATTAAAAGTGTACTTGAATTTTTTTTAATTCCAAATTTTTTAAAAGACTTCAGGATACATAACATTTTTGGTATGGTTGTAAGGGTTTCTATTGTCATCTAGAATCAATATATATAATATGTTTTTGCCTTTACTCGTGAAGGAATAACATAAAGTTGATTATGAGTAAATACTGAATTGAGAAAAATAATACGGAGTACAACAAAAGACAATGTTTGACTTTGAATTTTGTTAATAGTCATAACAAAACAAACGGGAGACGAAGGCACACTACTACCGCCGAAGAGCACAAAGTAGAGTTGGAGGTTTTAGGAATTATAGTTGGCTCCGGAGACATTGCCCAAAGGCGTCTGGGACATTTGGAGTCAGCAAAAATAAATTCTATTAGCTCTAAGTTATTGCAAAGATTCCACTCTCAAGTTGTTCTGTTCTAAGGCTATTTGTTTCCAAATAAATAACATGTAGAAGTCTAAAGAATAGAGGTTATACCTTCTACTGTACCCTTTTTGGTGCTCCAACGGAGCTTCCAAAATTTAGACCACAATCTATTTTAAGTTTTAGAGCCTCCATATATAGACGGTACCGTAGGTTTGCTAAAATCCACTTGGACCACTGGAAAGAGTCACTTGAGTTTTGAAAATTTGCCGGCGGCCTTCTAACGAGCTGATCGGAAACTTGCCGACGGCATTAGCAAATCTAGATGTTGAAATATTGGAATAATAATATTGCTTCTTTGAATTATGGGGTACATGATAGAGTATATATAGGAGAGACTCCTAATACAACTAGGAATAGAGAATAAAGACTAACTAAAATACAACTTCTACCATAACTAGGAATGCTTAATATTATTGTCTAACACTAGACTTCAATAGGATAGATCTGTTCTTGATGATCTTGACCTAGCATGATTTGAAGCACAGCAAGATCACCGGAAAAAAGATGGGAGATCGACGTCTACTTTTTTCCTATGTGAATGGGTAATCAAAGAGATTGCCAGAAAAAGCTAAGAGGCTTGATTTGGCTTTGATTTCTCCAAAGTGAAGGTTTGATATGAAAAAAATACGCTTGATCCGATAAAAAAAGGTAGAGAAATAGGAGATATGGTTGGAGTTCACTTTAAAAATTTAACCTCTAAAGTACTGTACATAGTCTAAAAATACCATATAGCTTCTCATTTTTAACACCTCGGTTGGAGATGCTCTAAGGATTATGTTTTCTTAAAAAATGTTCAGAGAAAACCAAGTTGTTCTATGTATAATACAATGCTTTATGCACAAATACAGATGAGTTGGCCATGCGCAACAATTAGAAGCAAAATCCTAAATTCAACATCTAATGTGGATTTCTCTGTCATTTTTTAGTTCCTCTACTACTCAACCCATTATTATATTGCCTCTGGATAAAATGTGAATACATATATAAAATTTTTAGGAAAAGTTAAAAATTTAAAATAAAAAATTGCTCTATCCATCCCAATGTTTTTGTCCAATTTAATTTTTTCGAGATAAATTGGACAAACTTTGAGCTTCAATTAAATAAAGACTATAATGTATTTTAACCTAAAAATAACTGTATTGAATTTATCATATTGAGAATTTTTTAAATTGTATTTTATTATACTAATATGCAATATAAATTGTGAGTAATTGGAGTTAAAAAGTATCCAATTTGACTCGAAAAAGTCAAACTGGACAAATACACTAGGACGAAGGTAGTATAAAATATAAACCCACCAAAATGTATATATTTCAATAAAGATAAAATTATTATAGTTCACAAAAGACGTATGAGATCATAAAGATGAGACTATTTTTCTTAATTTTTAATCACTTGTTATTTGTTAACTTGCGAGGCTTGTTCATTTTGGAACAAGGTTAGCGAAAAATAGAATGGACTCAAATTTGTAGAGAAGTGATCGATTTGGGCCAGAATCCAATAGCTTAAAAAAACACAACTCCACTGTCAATAGCCCAATCATGCATCTCTATAAGGCCTAGAAAAGCTCACAAGAAAAGGACAGTCTGGCCCAATTCTATGTGGGAAAGAGCTTGTGAAACCGAAGTCTCAATAATAGAAGCCCGAGCCTGCTCCATTTTGTATTCAACAATTCACGGTTTAATATCATGTGAAATTTGCATTAAATAGGATTAAAACATAATGACTTTCTTAATCTAAGACTTAAACTTTTTTATTCCCTAAATAGGACTTAATAATATCTTCGTGGAAGGAATAATGCCCAGCAATGATAGACATTACTTGAATAATGACTAAAGAATAATGACCAAAGGTCCTACATTTGAAAATAAAAACATATGGTCCTATTTTGGGAAAGTCATTATGTTTTAGTCCTATTTAGGTAAATTACTCTAATATCATTGGCTGTTCTTTCCAAAAAACACGTAACAAACTAACCATAATTTGATAAGGATAAGGTTTCGTTGACACTTACACTATGTTTGGTTCAAGAAATTTGAAAGGGAAAAGAAAAGAAAATGAAGTGGAAAACCATTTTTCTTGTTTGGTTAGAGGGAAAAAGAAAGAAAAAGTAGAAGGAAAAGAAAATGAGGAGGCAAAATGTACCGAGTGGAGGGAAGATCAAATTTCTTCCATTTTGGTGAGGAAAATGAAAGAAAACCATTTTATTTTCTTTCCTTCCAAAATCCTTGAGCCAAACATAGTGTTAAGAAACTTATATACTCCATCCGTATGGGAAAACTCTTCCCCATTTTGAACAAAGATAAAATTAAGGAAGTGTTAAATTATAGTTAACTTCTAATTTTCTCTTTGATGTGATGAATAAACTCTATCTATCACATCATATCTTTTTACTAATAATCTACCAATAAAATCTTACTTTTACTAATCACAGATTTTTTTGAAAATTCAATGCCAAAATACAATTTTCTTAAATCTCTTAAAAATCAATAAGTCTCATTTTTTAGAATGAGTATAATCACATGTGAGGAGGGGTAAACTTACACTATTTTATTGGTGTAATATTGTTACACCAATTCAATTGACGTATATATGATTCTCTGACCGTAAAATTAATTGTTCTTATTCATCGTAATCCCTTGTAGTAAACCCCCTAGCATAGCCCGTCCCGCCCCTAACGTACGCCCGCACACTCGCCAATTTCATAACACCAAATTTTATTGACTTTTGGGTGAAATTTTAGACTCGAGTTTGGTGAAATGAAAAATGTAGAACACCCACTCTCCCCATGGTCCTGCCCCATGAGGATGAAATTTTAACTTTTTACACTAATAGTTGATAAAGGTTTGGCATTAAATGGTGTTTGAAAACATCATGAAGAACTCTTTAAAACAAGTAAACTACGGAGTAGTAAAGTGTGGTTCTGTCACTTTTGTGGAGTTCACACAGATTTAACTAAAAAGTGTATGGGGGAGAGATCAGAGACGGTATGGTGCGTTGGTGCCCATCACTGTACTACTTTCAATCCAAGAAGGAACAATTAATTTTCGGACCATTAATATAGTACGAAGGTATGGAGTATGGACGAAGATTTCATATTCCACAAAAGCATTTAATTTGAACCCAAATAATGTATACCATTAATATAGTACGGAGGTATGGACTACGGAGTACTATGGAATATGGACGAAGATTTCATATTCCACCAAAGCATTTAATTTGAACCCAAATGATGTATCTAAGGATGCCAAGAGGTCGGGTTTGGTCTGGTTTGAATATATTAAAATCCGATCGAACTTAGGTCGGGTTAGGGTTTAATTTTGGTGAGTCGGTTTGGGAATAACGTTAGAGATTAGCATTAGCGTTTTGGATAAAATTTTAACAGTGCAGATTACTTTGAAAACGCTAACGCTAAACGCTGCTCGTAGATAACCTTTTCAAAACGCTAACGCTAATTGCTAACGCTATTTCCAAACAGGCCATGCATGGCGTTGATGATAATGATTAACTATTATGCATGCTTGCATATTGAAGATTGAAGATCAATAAGAAGATAAAGCTAGGGGACCTTCGGCATTTGACGCAACTTCTGTCCGTTGGAGTAGAAAAACCAGCAAAACCAACGCCGCCGCCATTGCAACTGTGTAGTGATGATATATATTCTTCAAAAACAATTGTAAAGAAAATGGAGGGAGAGAGAGGGAAGATGGGTGATCCACAGCTTCGAGAGTAATCTTGAGCAATGCTAGAGTCACAAACACTTTGAACATGCACAAAATACACAAACTTACCATTTGTGTATTTAAATGTTTACTTTTTAATTGTTTAGCATCATTTTATTCACTTGGTCAGGTGCACAAATAGCAGGATTGTGTATTTTGTGATCGAAGCATTTGTGACTCTAGCATTTCTCGTAAATCTTTGTACAGAGAGAGAGAAATCTGGCACTATCCAATTATGTCACTATTTTGCTTGTGCCACTCCCTGTCCCACAGCTGTTCGAATGCCATTTGGCATGATTCATTATTTCTCTGTTTTTTTAAAGAAACTAGATTCATATCCAAAATTCATACTATAACCAAGAAAATAATTTTATAAAGAAGATATACATTTAAGTAAAGAGAGAAGATAAATGGAGAATTTATCTAAATAAAACTAAAATATAATGACTTTCTCAAAATATAGGATTATCCGTTTTTATTTTTTAATAGAGAATTATTGGTTATTGTTCATTAGTCATTATTCTAGTAAATATCCAGC